TCGCGCCGCGTAAACATAAAACCATGTCTGCATTTGTGATCGGAGAAATGACAAACAACAAGCGCTACTCTATACTGCTCAAAACTCACGTTTGAATCGTCAGTGGCAAATTCTTTAAATATGAAAACGCAGGCTAATTACATTACAGTTCTGTGAGTCAGAACAGCCGGCATTGTAGTCTACTCTCCCAGGATCAGGAAACAGTCCTCCATAAAATGCGCTGGACACATCTGAATATTTGGGTTGAACTGTTCTGGAACAGTGTTGTAAATACAACTTAACCACTGATTTCTAGTCGTGTCCTCTTTTGGAAGGCCAAACAAAGTATTTTCACTTTCGCAACGAAACACACAGAGTCTTCACAACATGGCGGCGGCAGCAACAAAAGTTACGCCTTCTTTCTTTGTGTGAACATTTGGAAAAATGTTATGTAAATCCTCCCACATCGTGATGTAGACATGTGGGGGCGTGTTTAAACGAGGCATTTTAGGACGGCGTGGACCAGTCTTAACTAGGGTTGGGTATCATTTGAATTTTATCGATTCCAATTCCGATTCTGCTTATCGATTCCGATTCTTATCGATTCCTAGCTTCGATTCCAATAAGATAAAAAAATCCAACATAAAAAAAATTAAGTCAAACATTTAGATGTCAAACATTTATTCTGTCTTTTTTACAAAGCATTCTGTTGCAGCTGAATAACACGAGCAAAAATGCAGCAGCCTACAGAACACTGCAAGAGGAATTTTGCCTGTGCTTTAAAAAAAAAAAAAATACCACAGCAAAAACAACTAGATTTATATAAATATCAAATATTAAAGACAAGTAAACAGTCAGTAATAAGATAGGAACAAACAAATCAATTAGCAATATCATAAATATACAGAACTGTAATTAAAAGTTTAAAAACACTTCATAGCTTCTTTTCATAAATAAAATAGATTAATCAATTAAAGTTATTAAATATATTCAGTCAAGAATGATTTTCTTTTGTTCTTTGATTAACATTAATGACAGGCAGCGCGTTTATTAGGCTGAGTCACTCACAACACAAACTTGTAGCCACCTACTACATTAAGATGTAACCTGGAGAAGAGTCACTAAACAATTCAATGAACGAATCTGAACAAATCTTTTTTTTCCCTTTTGAACAGATTCAAAAGATTCACGTCACTGAATTGTATCACCAATAGCTGCCATTGCCTTTTAGGTTTAGGATTTAGAACTCACTCAACCTACTCACTCATCTTATCAAATAATAAGAAAAACAGTGAGACTTTACCTACGAAGTCAATCTCCAGGATCCTCTGGAGGTCGCTGATGCTGCGGATCTCGCTGTTAGACAGTCTCTCAATCAGCTCTTGCGGAATTGGTGCTTCCTATGAAAAAAGTAGTTATTCAAACCATGTCAAATTAAAATTACTTACGTTTGTTGTAGTTTGTCATAATATTTCACAATTATTTCTTTTAAAAATCAATAAACACCGTTTTAAAATATTGCTTTTTGACTTTATAACATTAATATCTGAAGTCAGGGTGTCATAACCAACATGCAAGAAACCAGAAAAGTCCCATTTAGACCCTCAGGTGTCACGTTATGCTGTTGAGGAAGCACACAGGAGGCACGATTAAACGAGAACTGTCTTTAATCAAAGAAACTCAGGAGATAATCACCAACAGGAGCTTGAGCCAACACACGTAGAGAACGAGTAGACCTGACAAACACAAACTGAACAGACTAGGACTTTTAAACACAGGACAATCAGGGGAACACAGATGACATCAATGGAACATAATCAAACTAAACGAGGACAGGAACTTGACCAAATAAGGAAACACAGGAAGGACTACGGGGGCAAAACAGGTCCAAAAGTCTGACATTTCGCCCCCTCCCGGAAGGTGCGTCCTCGCACCGTAACAACAACAGAGGGAGGCATAGGTGGGAGCTTGGAAGGAGGCTCAGGAGGAGGACGAATACCCGGGAGAGGGCCGGCAGAGAGAGACCAGGGAGGCAACGAAGGAGGGAGGAGACAGGAGGGGCCCGGAGCAGGAGGAGCCAAGCAGGACACAGACCACAGCCATGATGGCGACCCACGGTGGAGCCGACGGATGGAGGAGCCATGGAGGAGGAATGACCGCCAACTCCAGGGGGCCGACCAATGGCGGCGGAGGAGGCCGAGGCGGAGACGGAGAGTCAACGAGCCAGGGGGGTGCCGAGGATACGGGGGGCCAGGGTGGAGCCGAGGGCTCTGGCGACCAAGGC